TGAAATGTTTAAAAAAAAAATAACAGGGTCTTTTGAACGAATTTTATTCATAAATACTGATATTTTGCCTGTAGCTTTATTTTAGATCACTTTTAAGGTTACAAGTGTGAGTTTTATACCAGGTGAGCGATGCAGGCCCATTGGGCCTCTTGTTTTATAATGTACTTGAATCTGTTGCTGGGCAAAATCATTCATTTTGAAAACATGCATTGCCTGAAACGAGAGAAGCGTCTAAATGCCGTTTTTTTCAATTTTATTATCTAAATAACATTGTTTAAAATATTATCTATTTATTCGTTTTATAGCGATAAATATAAGATTAATAATAAATAAAGAAAAGCATTCGAATGAATTATGCAGTTCAAGAGAAAACACAAATGCATTTGGTACTGTTGCATTTAATTGCCCCGTCTATGGCCTCAGCGTAATGTTGCGGAAAGAGTGAGGCCCAGTAGAGGGAATTCATATTTGAAGATGTATTGTTTATCAAATGTAACTGTTATTATATGTTATAATAAGAGCACAGCGCAAGAAGCGAAGCTCTTTTCCGGTAACATGTGTACGAACAATTGAAGTCATGGTAACGTCGAAATACTATGCTTCCAAAATCCTTCATCACGGAAGTAGCTAGTATAGAGTTACCGCGGTCCTATTTTTACTATGCTGTTCAGCTTTGCTACACATTCTCAAAAATATCTCTTTATTAGATATTTTTTTTCTGTGGTTATGTAAATTCATGACATTATAAATTATAGAAACTGAAGCTTCTTTCAAATTTTCAGTCTTTTCTTCTCTCCACCCAAACCGGAAGTATATTGTAACTACCAAACCAAGACGGAAATCCGGATATGTTTGGGCTATTGTGATTCTCTTTTTACATGATTTAGAGGGATCTGGCAAAGTATATCATGTCGGAAAATAAAATTGGAATTTAATCACCAGTATACTGTCCATGCACCAATCACAACGTTGAAAACTGTCCACCAATCACTACGCTGAAAACTGTCCACCAATCACTACGCTGAAAACTATCCACCAATCACTACGCTGAAAACTGTCCTTTGAAGATAACATAGGAGTACACTCAACTTCAAAGACAATCAATTGTACGGTGTTACCCAATCATGAAATTCTTTTGATGTACATCGATCAATGAGTCGCACTAGTTTTCCTGTCCTCAAGGTGGCATACTCTGAGCCTTAAATTTTAATTTGCTAAGACATTTTTTTTATTCCAAGTGTGCATAGAGCAAAAGTGAGCTTAACCAATGGAATATTGCGAGTGAGTACAGGGTAGACATGACTTCTGTGCAGTTGTGATTTTTATTATTTCAAGTTGGTACGTTTTTAATCGGCATTATGGGAGAGATTGAATAAGCCAAGCAAATGAGTTCCTCATTCAGCTGATTACATGTAGAATGAGATTGTACTGTAAATCATAAGTCAGTTGAAAATTCAGATTTGAAATCTTTCTTTCCAAATGACAGCAGATTTATTACCTTATCATAGGGAAAGGGCTTGTTATAAGTTGTTCAACTTGTGCCCAATCCCTTTGCTAATTAAAGAAAGCAGCAAAATATATTTAAATGAAAACAATTTCATTCTGATATGAAACAAAGCGAGAAAAAATATGAAAATTTGACAAACGTGTATATGAGAATTAATATTTGACATATTTGACCAAAAAATAAGTCATTTTGATATTAAAACAAAATGAGAAAAGATATTAAAATTTGACATATCTATGACGATTGTTTTATATACAATTATTATTATTCGTGTAATTTACATATGAATGTAAAAACTTGTTTTGTTATTTTTTTTACACGTAACCTTATATAAGGTGAGTGAAATATGTTAGACAAATATGTATTGTAGTACATTAAGTGATTTTAAGATTGATTTCTGTCTCCTGGTCTGTTTATATCCCAATTTGTTGGATTTGTGTTTACCACAGCTTCTTTGACATGTAGGGGAACTGGACTGGGTCGATCGTCAGCGATCAGATAGCTCTATTGGTACCCCAGTCTGGGAGGGTCCTGTGTTTTTACCCCAGTCTGGGTTGGTCCTGTGTTCGTACCCCAGTCATGCCATGGAAGGGTCCTGTGTTCGTACCCCAGTCTGGTTGTGAGAGGGTCCTGTGTTCTTACCTCAGTCTGGTTGTGGGAGGATCCTGTGTTCATACCCCAGTCTNGGGGTCCTGTGTTCGTACCTCAGTCTGGCCATGGGAGGGTCCTGTGTTCGTACCTCAGTCTGGCCATGGGAGGGTCCTGTGTTTGTACCCCAGTCTGGTTGTGGGAGGGTCCTGTGTTCGTACCTCAGTCTGGTTCTAGGAGGGTCCTGTGTTCGTACATCAGTCTGGTTGTGGGAGGGTCCTGTGTTCGTACCTCAGTCTGGTTGTGGGACGGTCCTGTATTCGTACCTCAGTCTGGTTGTGGGAGGGTCCTGTGTTCGTACCTCAGTCTGGTTGTGGGAGGGTACTGTGTTCGTACCTCAGTCTGGTTGCGGGAGGGTCCTGTGTTCGTACCTCAGTCTGGCCATGGGAAGGTCCTGTGTTCGTACGCCAGTCTGGTTGTGGGAGGGTCCTGTGTTTGTACCTCAGTCTGGTTGTGGGAGGGTACTGTGTTCATACCTCAGTCTGGTTGTGGGATGGTCCTGTGTTCGTACCCCAGTCTGGTTGTGGGAGGGTCCTGTGTTTGTACCTAAGTCTGGTTGTGGGAGGGTCCTGTGTTCGTACCCCAGTCTGGCCGTGGGAGGGTCCTGTATTCGTACCCCAGTCTGGCTGTGGGAGGGGCCTCTGTTTGTACCTAAGTCTGGTTGTGGGAGGGTACTGTGTTCGTACCTCAGTCTGGTTGTGGGATGGTCCTGTGTTCGTACCCCAGTCCGGATGAGGGAGGGTCCTTGGTTGGTACCCCAGTCTGGCCGTAGGAGGGTCCTGTGTTCGTTCCCCAGTCTGGCCGTGGGAGGGTCCTGTGTTCGTACCCCAGTCTGGCCGTGGGAGGGTCCTGTATTGGTACCCCAGTCTGGCCGTAGGAGGGTCCTGTGTTCGTACCCCAGTCTGGATGAGGGAGGGTCCTTGGTTGGTACCCCAGTCTGGCCGTTGCCTTTCTCCTGTTACATATTCCTGACATGGTATGTGGCCGTTGCCTTTATCCAGTTACACCTACCTGACATGGTTTGTGATGCTTTCTTTGCTACACACATGTATTGGTTGTGTTTACATTAGTTCATGAGACTGAACAGGAATCCTTTATGGGCATTAGTTCAGTAGAAAACATCAGTAAACTGTATAGGAAATATTTTTGAAATTCATGTTACATGTGTATCATTTATATCATTCCAAATTAGATTAGGTAATTTTGTGCCAATGTTTAATTTCTTCTTTTTATCCTTTTTGGGTTTTTTGGCTTTTTTCCAATAAAATGTTTTTACCTTTTTTGCTTGAACTTTGTTTTTATTTACATATAATCATAGTAGTTAGTATTTTATCGTTTAAGGGTTCTCTCCGTGGCCAGGCCATTTAGCCGATAAAAACCACATCAGCTTCAGGTCAAAACCTCCCCGTCGTATCAGCTTAATTCACCTGTATCACCTTAGAATGATATTAAAAACAAAGTATTTCTATATTTATTAGATGTTTTGGGTTCACACTTCATTACTTAAGTATGGAGTACTAACTCATATGACACTGAATATGAGAACCTGAAAGGGTCTAATCCGCTAAACCTTCAACAATCTTCTTTAATCTTCATGCATATGGATGCAAAGATCTGGACAAATCTTAACTACAGGCCAAATTACAACGAAGGTTTTCAGATATGATAAATACCCCCGATGTCATGCATCCAGGTACCTGTATTACTTTTTCATCCCAACCCTTTTTCAGTTAGGAGCAAAGACTAACCTAGGATATGCTGGAGTTTTCTTGTGGGTATTATACAATATATAACTGAAGTCTTTTTAATTTCTTTTGTTTTTATTTCCGGGTTAATGAATAATTCACAATAAACAAAAAGAATGATACAGTGTAAACAATGAGGAGGGGGAGGAGGAGGAGGAGGATGAATATGAGGAGGAGGAGGATGACAATGATAAGGATAACGATGATGACAACATTTGATGACTTTTACAGTGTATTGGCAAAATTTTACCAATTATATATACAAGGTAATAAATGGGGTCTAAAACAATTGTTAAAATATATGTAATGGAAGTAACCCAAGGCTGGTGGGGTAAAAAAATATATGTAATGGAAGTAACCAAGGCTGGTGGGGTAAATACATATATGTAATGGAAGTAACCAAGGCTGGTGGCGTAAAAACATATATGTAATGGAACTAACCAAGGCTGGTGGGGTAAAAACATATATGTAATGGAAGTAACAAAGGCTGGTGGGGTAAAAAAATATATGTAATGGAAGTAACCAAGCCTGGTGGGGTAAATACATATATGTAATGGAAGTAACCAAGGCTAGTGGGGTAAAAAAATATATGTAATGGAAGTACCCAAGGCTGGTGGCGTAAAAACATATATGTAATGGAAGTAACAAAGGCTGGTGGGGTAAAAAAATATATGTAATGGAAGTAACCAAGGCTGGTGGGGTAAAAATATATATGTAATGGAACTAACCAAGGCTTGTAGGGTAAAAACATATATGTAATGGAAGTAACCAAGGCTGGTGGGTTAAAACATATATGTAATGGAACTAACAAGTCTGGTGGGGTAAAAACATATATGTAATGGAAGTAACCAAGGCTAGTGGGGTAAAAAAATATATGTAATGGAAGTAACCAAGGCTGGTGGGGTAAAAACATATATGTAATGAAAGTAACCAAGGCTGGTTGGGTAAAAACATATATGTAATGGAACTAACAAGGCTGGTGGGGTAAAAACATATATGTAATGGAAGTAACCAAGGCTGTTGGGGTAAAAACATATATGTAATGGAAGTAGCCAAGGCTGGTGGGGTAAAACATATATGTAATTGAAGTAACCAAGGCTGGTGGGGTAAAAACATATATGTAATGGAAGTAACCAAGGCTGGTGGGGTAAAAACATATATGTAATGGAAGTAACCAAGGCTGGTGGGGTAAAAACATATATGTAATGGAAGTTACCAAGGCTGGTGGGGTAAAAACATATATGTAATGGAAGTAACCAAGGCTGGTAGGGTAAAAACAGCATGTGCTGATGACCCTTTTCAAAAATTCCTTAAAAGTATTTTCACTTGCAGAAATTTTGAAAACATTTCCTCAATGTTTGCTCTGTTCAAACAGGACAGACAAATATCACGACTTTGACTTCAGGTTTTCTTCAAGAAACCATTTATTATACAAAAGTTAACAGACGGACAATGGACGCCACATCATACCATAACTTTGTGCCAGGTGAGCTTAACAGGAACTCCTAGTCTATCCGGCATAGCCTTGATCCTATTAACATTACAAAGCCTTGTTTGTCATTATTTAATGTGTGACTGGTTAATCTACTTCTCGTACAAAAGATGTTCCCCTATTGTTTAAGTATTTTAGTAACACAATTGTGTGTTTGTATTTGCCATCAATAAAAAATGTGACTGCTTATTGTCCTTAGTTCCAATATTTCATACAATGCAAGACCTAAGTAAATGTAAGACAAAATATACGTGTGTCATCCGTCATATACTTGTCACGACCATAATGACCCATAATCAAGCTGTGACTAAAATCAACAACAAAAGAAACACGAGATTAAGCCTCTTTATTTATTTACACGAGAATCTTAATAAAGAAATTATAAACGATCGATGTCTTCTTCACTTCTTCATATCATACGGCATTGGAGAAATTAACATCAATATCTTTACAAACGACAAGTCAGGCTCGAGAAGAATTTGTTCGGGTTCACTTGCTTGCTTATATCCAAATATCATACATCTACGTAATATTTTAACCAAGGTTTTATTTTTTAACACTTAAGATATTTTGGTATTTCGTTTTTTAATAGATTCTGATTGGTCCTGCCAAATGAAAATGACATACCTAATTTTGGTTCCGAGTACTATATAATGATTGAAAATCCGTATTGGAGGAGTTTGAAATTATGGTCACCAATCGCCACATCCCTGCTTTTCAAAATCAAAACGAAATGTTGAAGTCTTATGTTTGATGAAAACTTCAACAGTTAGATGGATAGCCAGCGTATTCTTCAGATTTAATACCAAACATAAAATTTTGTAAGATTGCAATTAATGTTGGGAATAGTCAAAATTAAAGGTTACAACACCTTCTGCACATGGTGTCGATTGTGTAGTTCCTCATCCGATCACCGGTTTGGAACCAACCACTTCTGCGATCTCTTCTTCAGCTGATCCCCTGGCGACTAGTACGAAACCCACCCCTACGGCCCCTATTTCAGCTGATACCTTGACGACCAGTTTCAACTGATCCCTTGACAACTAGTATGGCAACCACCTCTGTGGTCCCTATTCCAGTTCAACCTTTGACGACTAGTCCTGTTTCCGTGAGAAGCAGGTATAAACGGACATAGATTATAAAACTACTGGTTTGTTGTTACCATATTACCAAGACATAGTTTACGATATATATCTTCTAAACAATAAAATGGTTATGTCTTTGTGTCAATACGTTAAAACAATGAAAAGTAAAAGCCATACTAGCACTTACTGTGTTTAGCAATGTAACGAAAAAAAATGAAAATAAATTCTCTGTTGATATTATCTCATCTAGTTGGATACTAGCGCAATACATGCGTTAATGACCGGATTCCTGAGCCGAACTATAATTTCCGTTACTTAAAATCTATAGTTGCATATCATGATAATAATTTGAAAGAAGATACATTCTGTTAAGTTGCTTGCTGATCTGGTTCCAGCTCCAGTGGCGATTCAGGAGGAACATCGATTATAAGTGAAACAACGCCTGCTATTCCTGAATCTGTGTCCGGTTCCGGCAATAGCGTTAACACACGAACGTCAACCAATACACCAGGTCAGTAGGACTTTTCATTCTATATTCAGACAGCCATGGTAGTAAATGGCTATCACACCGATGTTTTGTAAAGACTGTTATATTGTCTCTGAAAATCGCCCTTCTAATTTACATATACTACGGTGTCACGCGTGTAGGTAAAACATGCTGCTTTGTGATGTTACAAACAATTTGTTTCACATACAGTTTCCAAAACTGCCCCCTCGTCAAGCTGTGCACAAAATTGTAGCTGCAAAAAAAACATTTTGGATAGTATCAGCATGGCATCGCTTATTGCGTCTGGAAATAAAACTGCAATAGAGAGAATACTTAAACTAGTAGATGAGCTGAAGGTAGAGCTAACGGTCAGCTCTGACGTCATACCGAATAAAGAAGGTGAGCACCATGGACATGAGGACATCGGCTAATAACATTGGCTCTTTCGGGGTAGTCATCATTGTCGGTGCAGTGTCGGCCATAGTCTTTCTAGACATTGCAGCCATACTTCTTCCAAAATAAAATGGCGTTCAGAAATCATTTAACATTTTTAGCTCACATTTCTCTGTATATTTTACAATTATGATTACTGAAGAATATCGGGAAAGTTTCGCTTCAGTTTAATGTTCGCCTTTTAACGCCCACTGGATTGAGAGCGAATTTTGCATTACAGCGAACATTAGTCAACAACGCAGTTCGCATAATTTAAATGTGATAGACGACACTAAGGGTATTGAGGTTATTTGGATTTCACTGGACGAACATTTTCCGGTATAAAGCATGTTCTATGAGTTCAATTTGAACTGAGGACTGTATGAAATTTTGTATAACGAAAACAGATTTGTGGAAACTTGTAAAATCGGTCTTTTGTTTCAGCTATTTCTATATATTTCTATTTCATTTTAATTCCATTAAATGATTTTTTTTACAAATTATGGCCATTTTAATCCGCTTGTAGGTGATGACTTAAAAGATTGTCAGTTTACTTTGTCTGATAATTCCAGATGTTGCCAGAGTGCTCCGTTTGGTAGTTACAAAGGAAAGGTGTTAGAATATTCTTTTGTGAAATGACTATGTAAACATAGCTTTGTACAAAGTCGAGAGTGGGTTTACATTCGTTTTGTGATACACATGCTCAAGAAGTAGAATGAAGGGAACGAGGAACTTAAAGAGCACGAATATCTTCTGGTCAATCTGAAACATGCCTTTCTCAACAATGCATTTACATAGGAACCTGTGGTTTTGTTGTCGCTAACTCATTTCTCCCCTTGAGGACGTTAGGATACTTTAATTGGACCAATATTCAAATTACACGTGTCGTGAATACAAACAAGTGAACCTAGGTACGCTTCCGGATTACCAAAATCATTTGTACAGCGAATGAAATCCACGGACCAATGTCTTATAGTTAAGCATTTTTCAATTCAAATATTTCCGGTCTACTGGTATATAATGTATATA